ATAGTTTGTCCTCCCTTAGCCATTGATATAAATAGGTATTCTTCTTTACCCAAACTAATCAATGTAACTAAATTGGTGTTTAAATTTCTAAACAAGATGAATATCTCATGTAAGTTTTCACATCCTCTTGAATATTGGATAAAGAGGGTACAAGAAGAAATCTGTGGAAATGAGATTAAATTGATGATGGAAAGAAAAATTGTGAAAGGTTCCATAATAGAGAAATTGGGGCTGTATTTAGAGAACAATGCAATTAGGTAGGTTACAAAATGCTGAATTGGGTGATTATGCTAAACACCCTATCTTACTGCCCAAAACTCATCATCTAACAAATTTAATTGTGCTAAATGCCCATAAAAATGTAATGCATGGTGGGGTACAAGATACCTTAAATTGTATTAGGGAAACTTTCTGGATTCCACAAGGACGGCAAAGTGTAAAAAGGGTGATTAAATCTTGTGTAATATGTCGCCGTGTGGATCCAGATCTATATGTACCCAGGTCCTCCACCATTGCCAAAGGAGTGTGTACAATTAGTGAAACCATTTGATGTAACAGGTGTAGACTATAGTGGTCCAATAATTTTAACATGTACGTCAAATGGTGTTCCACTGAAAGTGTATGTTTGTTTGTTCACCTGTACTTCTACTAGGGCAGTTCATTTAGAAGTGGCACAGGACTTGTCTGCAGAGCAGTTTATACAACTGTTTCGAAAATTTGCAGCTAGGAGATCCTCTCCGAGGTTGATGATTTCGGATAACCTGGAGTTTACCTGGAGAGAGTTCCGGGGGTCAACGCCCCCGCGGCCCGGTCTGTGACCAGGCCTCCTGGTGGATCAGAGCCTGATCAACTAGGCTGTTGCTGCTGGCTGCACGCAAACCAACGTACGAGCCACAGCCCGGCTGATCAGGAACTGACTTTAGGTGCTTGTCCAGTGCCAGCTTGAAGACTGCCAGGGGTCTGTTGGTAATCCCCCTTATGTGTGCTGGGAGGCAGTTGAACAGTCTCGGGCCCCTGACACTTATTGCATGGTCTCTTAACGTGCTAGTGACACCCCTGCTTTTCATTGGGGGGATGGTGCATCGTCTGCCAAGTCTTTTGCTTTCGTAGTGAGTGATTTTCGTGTGCAAGTTCGGTACTAGTCCCTCTAGGATTTTCCAGGTGTATATAATCATGTATCTCTCCCTCCTGCGTTCCAGGAATACAGGTTTTGGAACCTCAAGCGCTCCCAGTAATTGAGGTGTTTTATCTCCGTTATGCGCGCCGTGAAGGTTCTCTGTACATTTTCTAGGTCGGCAATTTCACCTGCCTTGAAATGTGCTGTTAGTGTGCAGCAATATTCCAGCCTAGATAGAACAAGTGACCTGAAGAGTGTCATCATGGGCTTGGCCTCCCTAGCAGGTGCTCAACACTTGATAGAATTAAATAATAGTAACGATGTTCAATCTCTGTTAACCCAGCGAGGGTACCTGGAAATTTATTACTCCTAGAGCCCCTTGGCAGGGGGGGCTGTACGAAAGACTGATAGGCACAGTGAAGAGGTGTCTCTGCAAAGTAATACACTGGAAGAGAATTAATTTGGAAGAATTCCGTGCAGTGGTTAGTGAGGCAGAAAATCGTATAAATAATAGGCCTCTCTCGTACATGAGTGAACACCTGAAGCAGGTGTAATGAACACCCTCTCACCTAATATTTTGGAAGGGAAATTGGAAGCTGCCCCTGTCTATAGAGATAATCCGAAGAAAGTGATGAAGATTACAATATTGCAGCAGTGTTCGTGATAAATTTAAATGTTAAATAAAAGTAATTGGTCATTGGTCTAATGTGTGGCGTAGGATATCTTCTTACACTACGTGAACACTTTTAGGTGCGACTAGGCAGTAAATCAACAGACCATTCAACCAGGTGACTTTGTGGGTTTAATTGACACTGAACAACATCAAACATTGTGGCCTCTGGCAAAGTATTGACATTGTACCCAGATGCACAAGATGTTGTCAGGAATGTCAAAGTGTTGTGTTGTGGCCAGGAAAGTTTACGCACAATTAATAAATTGATTCCCTTGGAGTTAGGTGTTCAATCAAACGTAAATGAAAATCTGAGGGAAAGTGACACAAGTGATATGGAAGATAACGGTGACCAAGTGATGCCGGAAAATGAAATCGTAGTAAGACCTACTAGGAGAACAGCCACTCAAGCCAGAACCGGCTGGAATCATCTCCTAAAGGAAGGAGTAATTTGAGTTGTTTAGCATTGAACTCCGGCCGGCTGCAGTGTGGAAAATACTGTATATATTTTCCGGAAATACGGTAATTTATAGGTAAATAGATGCCCTATATTGTATTTTTAAAAGAAGTATGCTATAGAAAAAAAGAGGAGACTCGCCATCTTGGTTTTGAATTTAGTACAAACGTTGGTGTAATGGGAAGAATTTTTCGTGCTCTAGAGGTTAAAATTGTGTTGACACCTCTCAAACAGGAGGCGAAATTGGTGGATGTGCATTCCTGCATAACTTGAGATATCAGACGACTGGACAAGACAGCTCCAGGAACCTCAGATAAGCTCTCTAGATTTGTGTGTAATTCTGGCCAGCATTATTTTCATAGATTTAGTTAGAGTGAGGTTTTCTGAGTATGATACACATTAATCTCCAGTCAAATTGGTGAGTGATATTAAGATATATTTTCCTTCTGTTATGTAATTGTGTATATATATATATAACCATTTATTATTTTTAATATACAGTCCACAAATTTATATATTTACCAGTATTCCTGGTGTATGTTTATTTAATTTAATTAATAGGTCCAGAGCAACTTGTGGTTATGACAGTGGTAGGTATCGAAGGGGGGCATTTTTTGCGACCTAGGTGTCCCAAATTCCTACTTGTCTATGTTACATTGATAAATAATAATTATCTTTGTTATCATTTACTGTTATGTACATAATTAGTTACATTCAGATAAATGCAATTTTCCACACTGTATATTTCCTTGCTGAGCTCACTAGTAGTCTGGTTGACCGAGAGCTGGCAAAGCTCTCACTTCACACTCCGAGGGTCTGGGTTTGATTCCCGGTGGGGTGGAAACATGCCATGCATTTCCTTACACCTGTTGTCCTGTTCACCTAGCAAATAGGTACTGGGTGTGGGTCGCATCCTGGGGGACAAGAATGAGGACCCTAATGGAAATAAGATAAGATAAGATAAGAGATAAGATTTCGTTCGGATTTTTAACCCCGGAGGGTTAGCCACCCAGGATAACCCAAGAAAGTCAGTGCGTCATCGAGGACTGTCTAACTTATTTCCATTGGGGTCCTTAATCTTGTCCCCCAGGATGCGACCCACACCAGTCGACTAACACCCAGGTACCTATTTGCTGCTAGGTGAACACGACAACAGGTGTAAGGAAACGTGTCGAAATGTTTCCACCCGCCGGGAATCGAACCCGGGCCCTCCGTGTGTGAAGCGGGAGCTTTAGCCACCAGTCCGTCGATGACTAACTGTCTTTCTTGGTTTATCCTGGGTGGCTTACCCTTCGGGGCTAAAATATTTTATCCTAACTGTTAAACTGGGAGTTTCATGTTTCCCTTTCTTTCTCTGAAGGAAATTTTGTTTCTTTCCTAATTCCCACTCGGCTGACCTCTTGCCTCACACACTGAGTACCCGTGGTTCAATCCCCGGCATGGCTGGAAATGTTGGACGTTTCCATACACCTACAGTCCTTGTTCACTTACACTGCAGTGGTTCCCAAACTGGGGTAAATTACCCCCTGGGGGTAATTTAACCATTTTTTGGGGGTAATGGAGGGGTGACAGAAAAAAAGTTATGAATTCTGAAAATCAAGAAAACAATGCGGTACCCGGTATGAGGATTATTGTTAACTTTGTCTTAGTATATAAAGTTGTAAAGTAAACCTATTATAAGTAAGTAATAAAGTTAAACCAAATAACAATAAACATCAAAAACTAATATATAGTATTAGAAAAGAAGAAATATATAGCTAAGTGTGTGGAAACCCAAAAGTATTTTGACAAGTATGCTTCAGGACAAAAGTCACTCAGTAGCCCAGATCGACCTGTCCAGTACGCATCACTCACTTCCTGAGGCTGCCTCTATTTCACACTGTCAGTTTATCTGTGAGCATCAGCCGAGGTAGACATAAGCTGGTATGTATGTGTACTGCCCTGTGCAGTATATAGTTAGTATTTACCCACTGTTACTGTGAATTTGTAGCTATTATTAATTTTATATATAATGTATGTGTGTTTCTTACGTTTTCAATGGTTTTGCTAGGATTAGCAGAGTATGCGAGGCTGTATACGTTCACGTTTAGCCATATATATCAATAATAACAACATTTTGTGAAAGGGGTAACATGCTTTATGTGGCATGTTAAATTGGGTAACAAGCTGAAAAAGTTTGGGAACCACTGACTTACAGGGACCTACTATCCCTGTTCACTTACGGGGACCTACTATCCATGATCACTTAACTTATTAACAATGGAAAAAAGTCACTTTGTCTGACTTTTTGGGGTAATCCCAGGTTCTCTACACATATGCTGCTATGTATGATAATCTGTGTAACTGCATTTGTGTATACCTGAATAAACTTACTTACTTACCTAGGTGTTAGTCATCTTGCACCTGCTGTCCTTGTTGACGTAAGTAAGTAACATTTTTTGGTTATCCCGGGTAATTTACAGTATGTATGATAGTTGTACTTATGAGTACCTGTGCCTAAATAAACTTACTTATCCGTGTTAGTCAAGTGGTGTGGGTGGCATCCTGGGCAACAAGATGGAATGACCACAAAAGAAATGATATAGACAGTTTTCGATAACGACTAATTTTCTTGTGTGACCCTAGGTAGCTAACCCTCCTTACCTAGGGTTAAAAATCTCAAAAAAACTTGCGTTATGTTATGTTATTTTACCATAACGTAACATTATCCAGTCTGCCAGGAGGCAGGACTTAATAATGCGTACACTTGGGTAGCCTTAACACCCACAACAACGACGACTGCCAACCTTTGTTGTTTGTTAGTAGCAGCTGAGTTGTTAGTGCTGCTGCACCACCTGCTGCACCACCTGCTGCTGCTCCACCACCTGCTGCACCACCTGCTGCTGCTCCACCACCTGCTGCTGCGTCAAGAACCGCTGAAGAAAATAGATTAATATTAAGGTGAGGTTTTAATGGAATTTTTGTGTCAGCATCAGAGGAGGATCAGCTGCCTCTTGTTTTGTTATGCTTTGTTCCTCTCAAAGGAGCTTCCTTGATGCTGGTGAGGGGCTCTTGATCTAGGGAGTTGGATCTGTGTTCCGGTTTCCTGAATTGAGCCTGAGTACCTACCATCCCTTCCCCCCGACAGGCGCTTTATAATCCTACGGGTCTAGCGCTTCCCCTAATAATAAATTGGTTGTTACATTTACTTCAAGGTTTGTATACCTATGTGAGTTCTGATTCATGACTAGAGCCTTCAAGGTTGTTAGTACCTTGATGCTGAAGGTCTCTTGATTCATGGAACTAGAGCTACCTTTAAGGTTGTTAGTACCTTGATGATGCTGAAGGTCTCTTGATTCATGGAACTAGAGCTACCTTTAAGGTTGTTAGTGCCTTGATGATGCTGAAGGTCTCTTGATCCATGGAACTAGAGCTACCTTTAAGGTTGTTAGTACCTTGATGAAGCTGAAGGTCTCTTGATCCATGGAACTAGAGCTACCTTTAAGGTTGTTAGTACCTTGATGATGCTGAAGGTCTCTTGATCCATGGAACTTGAGCTACCTTCAAGGTTGTTAGTGCCTTGATGATGGTGAAGGTCTCTTGATCCATGGAACTAGAGCTACCTTTAAGGTTGTTAGTGCCTTGATGATGCTGAAGGTCTCTTGATCCATGGAACTAGAGCTACCTTTAAGGTTGTTAGTGCCTTGATGATGCTGAAGGTCTCTTGATCCATGGAACTAGAGCTACCTTTAAGGTTATTAGTACCTTGATGATCCTGAAGCTCTCTAGATTCATGGAACTAGAGCTACCTTCAAGGTTCTTAAAACCATTGGTGATGCTGAAGGTCTCTTGATCCAAGGAACTAGAGCTACCTTCAAGTTTCTTAGTACTTTGATGATGCTGAAGGTCTCTTGATCCATGCAACTAGAACTACCGTCAAGGTTGATGCTACCTTGATGATGCTGAAGGTCTCTTGATCCATGCAACTAGAGCTACCTTCAAGGTTGTTACTACCTTGATGATGCTGAAGGTCTCTTGATCCACGGAGCTAGAGCTACCTTCAAGGTTGTTTCTACCTTGATGATGCCAAAGGTCTCTTGATCCATGGAACTAAAACTACCTTCAAGGTTGATGCTACCTTGATGATGCTGAAGGTCTCTTGATCCATGCAACTAGAGCTACCTTCAAGGTTGTTAGTACCTTGATGATGCTGAAGCTCTCTTTATTCATGGAACTAGAGCTACCTTCAAGGTTGTTACTACCTTGTAATAAAGTTGGTAGAATTACCGACAATATGTAAAGTAAAAGGACACAAGTGCAACTAATGTGACATTTTATTGTGGCAACGTTTCGCTCTCCAGGAGCTTTATCAAGCCATTACAAACAATACATGGACACAGAGGGTATATATAGGCTCAGAGTGAGGTGCAATACTAGTGAGGTACCATTTCGATGTTCACTAGTGGTAGTAGTAGTAGTAGTAGTAGTAGTAGTAGTAGTCGTAGTGACAAAAGTAATACAATATGGTAGAGCAATTAATTCGTACATGAGTAAAAGGATATAAAAGCTATTACTTGGGTAACATAAAAATAGGTTGGACAAATATAGACTGGAAAGAATCAGCACTGATCGCTGTTTCGAATACAATTAAACAAAACAACGGCAGCTTCACCATCTCCGAAGTCTTAGCAAGAATCCTACTGAAAACAGTAAACCCTGCCATCACATAGTCTCTCCTGTTATACTACACAAAGCACATTACAGAGAGTGAACACTGAAACAAGCTGCCTCTTTCCAGTCTATATTTGTCCAACCTATTTTTATGTTACCCAAGTAATAGCTTTTATATCCTTTTACTCATGTACGAATTAATTGCTCTACCATATTGTATTACTTTTGTCACTACGACTACTACTACTACTACCACTAGTGAACATCGAAATGGTACCTCACTAGTATTGCACCTCACTCTGAGCCTTTATATACCCTCTGTGTCCATGTATTGTTTGTAATGGCTTGATAAAGCTCCTGGAGAGCGAAACATTGCCACAATAAAATGTCACATTAGTTGCATTTGCGTCCTTTTACTTTACATATTACTACCTTGATGATGCTGAAGGTCTCTTGATCCACGGAGCTAGAGCTACCTTCAAGGTTGTAAGTACCTTGATGATGATGGTCTGTTGATCCATGGAACTAGAGCTAACTTCAAGGGTGTTAGTACCTTGATGATGCTGAATGTCTCTTGATCCATGGAACTAGAGCTACCTTCAAGGTTGTTACTACCTTGATGATGATGCTGAAGGTCTCTTGATCCATGGAACTAGAGCTACCTACAAGGTTGTTAGTGCATTGATGCTGAAGGTCTCTTGATCCACGGAGCTAGAGCTACCTTCAAGGTTGTTAACATTTTGATGATGCTGAAGGTCTCTTGATCCATGGAACTGGAGCTACCTTCAAGGTTGTTAGTACCTTGATGATGCTGAAGGTCTCTTGATCCATGGAACTAGAGCTACCTTCAAGGTTGTTAGTACCTTGATGGTGCTGAAGATCTCTTGATCCATGGAACTAGAGCTACCTTCAAGGTTGTTAGTGCCTTGGTGATGCTGAAGGTCTCTTGATCTGTGGAACTGTGCAACTAGAGCTACCTTCAAGGATGTCAAGGTTGTTAGTACCTTTATGATGCTGAAGGTCTCTTGATCTATGGAACGAAAGCTACCCTCAAGGTTGTCAGTGCCTTGATGCTGAAAGTCTCTTGATCCATGGAAGTAGAGCCACCTTCAAGGTTGCTAGTACCTTGATGGTGCTGAAGGTCTCTTGATCCATGGAACTCTAGCTACCTTCAAGGTTGTTAGTGCCTTGATGATGCTGAAGGTCTCTTGATCTGTGGAACTGTGGAACTGTGGAACTAGAGCTTTCTTCAAGGATGTCAAGGTTGTTAGTACTTTGATGGTGCTGAAGGTCTCTTGATCAATGCAACTAGAGCTAACTTCAAGGTTGTTAGTACCTTGATGATGCTGAAGGTCTCTTTATCCATGGAGCGAGAGCTACCTTCTAGGTTGTCAGTGCCATGATGCTGAATTCAAATTCAAATTCAATTCAAATTCAAAGTTTATTCTCTATAAGGATTACAATGCTGAGTTTACAGAATTTGGTTATTGTGTGGTTTACATGTAGTAAAATACTAATTACAGAGGGAGCCACTAGAACACCTAGCATGGCTAGGCATTTTGGGCAGACTTAGATTAATTCTTAACTTCAAAATATTACAAGTTATGAAGTAAGTTGGTATTATGGCTAAGTGACTAAATACTAGTTTGTGAGTTTAGCAATGTGAATGCTTTTGTTTTGGCACAATACATAGTTTCAGTATTGGAGTATCACAGGCCAACTTATGACTAGTTAGGATTCATTATTTTAAGATTGAGATTGATATTTCTGTTTATGGTCAAATGGGTGAGTGAGTGTAAGTGTGAACCACCAGGTGGTATTCGTGTAATTAGTTGACGGGGTGTATCAGGGAGATAAGATGTTTTCTAATGGTAGTTTTGAAGGTGATGAATGTGTCTGCAGTTCTAGCATTTTCAGGTAGGGTGTTCCAGATTTTAGGACCTTTGACATACATTGAATTTTTGTAAAGGTTTAGTCAGACATGGGGAATGTCATAGAGATGTTTGTGTCTGGTGTTATGCCTGTGGGTTCTGTTACAACTATCAAGAAAGCATTTTAGGTCAAGGTTAATATTGGAATTTAAGGTCCTGTAGATGTAGATTGCACAGTAGTAAGTGTGGATGTACTGAACAGGGAGTAAGTTTAGATCTATGAAGAGTGGGGGGGTGTGTTGCCAGGGATGGGATTTAGTGATTATTCTTACTGCAGCTTTTTTTGGGTTATTATTGGCTTTAGGTGTGTTGCTGCAGTTAATCCCCAAGCACAGATAGCATAGGTGAGGTATGGATAAATAAGTGAGTGGTATAGTGTGAGAAGGGCATTTTGCGGCACGTAGTATCGTATCTTGGAGAGGATCCTAACCGTTTTTGGTTATGTGTTGGATATGGGTGCTGAAATTCAGGTTGTTGTCGAGGTATAGGCCTAGGAATTTGCCCTCATTGTGCCTGGCAATTAGAGTGTTGTCGATCTTAATGTTAATTTGCGCAACACCTGCTCTGCTACTAAACATAATATAGTAGGTTTTGTCAGTGTTAAGCGTAAGTTTATTGGCTGTCATCCAAGTCGATATTTTGATCAGCTCCTCGTTAACAACGGTGTTGAGGGTGGCAAGATTAGGGTGAGAGATGACATAAAGTCGTGTCGTCAGCAAAGAGAATGGGGTTCAGGTGTTGGGATACGTTTGGAAGATTGTTGATGTATATGAGGAAGAGCAGGGGACCAAGGACATTTCCCTGTGGAACTCCAGTATCAAGTGGCCGTGTTGTTGATGCTGTGTCTTTAATGGTGACATACTGATACCTATTAGTAAGGTAAGATTTGAAATATGCAAGCGCATGGCCTCTTATACCATAATGGTCAAGTTTGTGGAGTAGGATGTCGTGGTCTACTGTGTCAAAAGCTTTTCTTAGGTCAATAAAAGTTCCTAGTGGATATTCCTTATTTTCCAATGCTGTGTAAAGCAGATCTAGCATTTTTATAATTGCATCATTAATGCTTTTATTTTTCTAATCCAAATTGGCAGGCGTTGAGTATGTTTTGTGCCGTTATAAATAAATGTAGGTCTCTTGATCCATGGAACTAGAGCTACCTTCAGGGATGTCAGTGCCTTGATGCCGAAGGTCTCTTGATCCATGGAACTAGAGCTACCTTCAAGGTTGCTAGTACCTTGATGATGCCGAAGATCTTGATCCATGGAACTAGAGCTGCCTTCAATGTTGCCAGTGCCTTGATTATGCTGAAGATCTTGATCCATGGAACTAGATGTACCTTCAAGGTTGTTAGTACCTTGA